ACACGCACCACGGGAGCGGCTTTTATAGCGGAGACGAGGATCGTAGAGCGCGCCGCTGCTGATTGGCTCCTCTCGCTCGAGTCCCGCCCTCTCCTTGAGCCACCAATGACAAGCCGGGACGCGAGGATTCGATGTTGACTTTCATTATTTGTATCCATATATGTTTTAATGCGCACACGCATCTTATGAATTAAACAATGCGATACACGTACTTAATAGGTTCAAGTTTTAAGCATGATAGAGTTAATTTATGGGCGCGTGCTGGCAAGTCAAACTTATAAGCGGATTCCGCAAATATCAATGTATTATTGATTATAATCATCATTTTGAGGGACCGCATTGGTTATAAGAAATCATTGTGATAGCCTTGAGCTCGTGATTGATCGCCCACGTGCCTATACGGTGTATAGATATTTTTCTTTAACCGCCTGTTCGGGCAATGCCCAAAAATATATGTGCGTGAATAATTCAGTCTCAGTTTGCAAAATGTGAACTTCTTATCAGCTCGGGCTTGAAACAGCATAAACCAATATCTTTGGGTTTAATCTATATATATTAAATCGTGAATGTCTGTCTGTCTGTGTGTGGATGTCGGACCATACGCACTTTCATTGGACGCCGGTTGCCCCTGCCAACGCCTAGCGACGACTTCGCCGCTTTCATTGGACGCCGGTTGCCCCTGGCAACGGCTAGCGACGGGCTAGCAGTTGCGGGGTGGACGCCATCTTTAATTCCCGTTAAAAATAGGCGCACGCATTAACACGCGACTCTGAGGTAAATTCATCTAAGTTTCACGTCCTCTTTACTCCCCCCCCCACCACAATGTGTGCTATTACTATTATAGGGTCGGTAGATTATTAAATTATAGCGATTACACAGTATTATTGTAGCGCGGTGGGGGGGGGGGGGGGAAACGGCACCCGTACCCAGCGTCAGCCGGGTGGCAAAATCAGGCGAGGCGGGAGGCTCTGCACGGTGCTAGGCCTCCACACCCACCACGCGACTCTGAGGTAAAATACATTTCACCAAAATAACTCTTTTGTTGTACATTATGTAAACATGGTTTCACAACGCTTATACACAACACCAACGTGTGATGTTGAAGAATGAGCGGCGGGGTATAGAAATGAACTTGATTGTCGCTTACGCCTGACGACTCGTGAGAGCCGTGACCAGCAAACGAAGGTTTCCGGCACCCGAACTTTGAAGGACACACATGGAAGCTTTCTCACGAGTAAGTGGTGGCTCTGAAAAGAGCCTTTGTGTTGTGCTTTGAGGGCCGAGCTGGGCGTTCAAGCGCGCTCGCCACGAATGCGGCGGGCGAGCTGAATGTCCTTGGGCATGATGGTGACGCGCTTGGCGTGGATGGCGCACAGGTTGGTGTCCTCGAAGAGCGCGACAAGGTACGCTTCGCTGGCCTCCTGCAGAGCCATGACAGCGGAGCTCTGGAAGCGCAGGTCGGTCTTGAAGTCCTGCGCGATCTCCCTGACGATGCGCTGGAAGGGCAGTTTGCGGATGAGCAGCTCGGTGGACTTCTGGTAGCGGCGGATCTCGCGCAGAGCGACGGTGCCGGGCCTGTAGCGGTGAGGCTTCTTGACGCCGCCCGTGGCCGGAGCGCTCTTTCGGGCCGCCTTGGTGGCGAGTTGCTTGCGGGGGGCCTTGCCGCCCGTGGACTTGCGAGCCGTCTGCTTGGTGCGAGCCATGGCTTGGTGAGGGCAAAGATTCTCACAGGCGGGGAGGAGAAGGCGGCTTATGTAGCCCAGAGCGCGCGCTCACTGGTCAGCGGAGTCGTGACGTGCGAAGAAGGGGCGCGTGCTGATTGGTTGGCAGCGTGCAATGATCTCGAGTCGTCAACTCTTCTTCATCAACGAAATGTTCTCACTTTGGAGCATTGCAGAATGCCGCATCACGATGCAGTAGTTCCGTTTGAGCGCGGTCGATGTCTTTAACGGATGTTCTTTTCTCAAGCAAACACCTTTCCGAAAACAACTTTACAGTGCTCCGCGTGATCTAAATAAAGTGTGAAAAACTGCACTTCATTGGAAACAGTAATACGTAAAAATTATTCTTTGGTTCTTTCGGTAAAGTCACGTATAAAGAAAAAATAATATATTACAGCATACGACGTTTCGATTGCAACACAAGCAATCATCAGGTATAATGAAATAGCGACATAAAATCGAACCAGAAAAAAATTATAGACAGACATATAAGCAGACAGATATCACCAATTTGTTTCTTTATATACGTGACTTTACCGAAAGAACCAAAGAATAATTCCTGCAGTCACGAAAGCTCCAAAGTTAATACGTAAAATTGTCGGAAAGAGGTGATCACAGGGATAGATATCTATTCTCTTGGCATTGAGATGATGATCATCAATTATACTGCACGAGTCATCCATGCTAGGCGCTTACTTTTACATAGATGCACACGTGCAAAATGTTAGTTCCTGCCCGAAAATACAACCACGAATTAAATATATTGCATTGCAAGGTTTTGGCACCAAATATCCAATGTAATATCTGAATGGGCTGCAGATGAAATCAATGGACAAACAAGTCCAAGAAATGCCTGCTGGTGAACATGATGTGCCATGAATATTGTTATCGCTTTTATTCCCGTGGAAACAGGTTAAAATGCGTTCCATCTCTCCATTCCACTCAATGAGCGAACAATGTCCCCGCGTGAACCGGGGCTTTGTTGGAAGTTTCGTTTCGTACTCCTGCTAGGACTGGTACAAGCAGGTTCGGAGAGGTGGGTGGCTCTGAAAAGAGCCTTTGTAATTAATGGTGGAGTCGAGGCTTCACTTGGAGCTTGTGTACTTGGTGACGGCCTTGGTGCCCTCCGACACGGCGTGCTTGGCCAGCTCGCCGGGGAGCAGCAGTCGCACTGCGGTCTGGATCTCCCGAGAAGTGATGGTGGAGCGCTTGTTGTAGTGCGCCAGGCGGGACGCCTCGGAAGCGATGCGCTCGAAGATGTCGTTGACGAACGAGTTCATGATGCTCATTGCCTTGGACGAGATGCCGGTATCGGGGTGCACCTGCTTCATCACCTTGTAGATGTAAATGGCGTAGCTCTCCTTCCTGCGGTGGCGTCGCTTCTTGCCATCCTTGCGCGTAGCCTTGGTCACAGCCTTCTTGGAGCCCTTCTTGGGAGCAGGAACCTTGGCCGGCCCAGCGCTCTTTGATGCGGGAGGATCGGGCATGTCGACGCGTCGTAGGCAGCAGCTTCAGGTCAGAACAGACGGGAAGCGAATGTGGATGTCGCTCGCGCGTTGAGCTCCTTTTATAGGAGGCGAGATGCAAATCAGAGGATCGTAGTGCGCGGCGCTGCTGAGTGGCTCTTTTAGTACCGTCCCTCTCCATCAGCCTCCAATGAGAAACGCGGACGCGATGTTCACTTTAATATCGATTTTACTGCAAAAAGGACTTGTGAATATAACACAATGTAATGTCCAAACATGTGTATTAGTGAATTGCAGCCATGGCATTGCCTTTGTTTTAAAAAGGATGACTAGAAAACCCAATACAGTATATTGTGTTTTGAGCGTGGGTTTTTTTGTTTCTTACGAGGGATTGTTTCACCACTCGTCTAATACGGCGCACGGGCGTTTTATGAACGCAATTTGGAAAAATACAAGCGCTCGGTGGAGAAAAATAACTTCGCTGTTGTGCTGTACAGGTGGAGATTAGCATTCCGGCACGCTCCGTCAATTAGGACGAGTGTGCTGTAAGATTGTGGCGCCAAATGCTCTACGTAATATCGGAATCGGCTGCAGCTGGAAATAATTCACGCAAAATACCAGAAATGGGTACTGTATTAAGGCGTTCAAGAATTACGCCTTGTTAAATGTGTCGTGAATATCATGATTTCTTTCATTCATTCATGTGGAAGCAGATGAAGATTCGCCAACTCAACAAGCAAACGTCCAGCACGCTCACAACAACCCAGGACATGTGCTCCATTCAGAGCGTGTTTGGCAACACTGGCGCAAGCAGTTTCGAAGAGGTGGGTGGCTCTGAAAAGAGCCTTTGGGTTGGCTTAGTGTGCGAGAGATGGGCGCTCAGCCTCCGAAGCCGTAGAGAGTGCGGCCCTGGCGCTTGAGGGCGTAGACCACGTCCATGGCGGTGACGGTCTTGCGCTTGGCGTGCTCCGTGTAGGTGACGGCGTCGCGGATGACGTTCTCAAGGAAGACCTTCAGGACGCCGCGGGTCTCCTCGTAGATGAGGCCCGAGATGCGCTTCACACCGCCGCGGCGAGCGAGGCGGCGGATGGCGGGCTTGGTGATGCCCTGGATGTTGTCGCGCAGCACCTTGCGATGGCGTTTTGCGCCTCCCTTGCCGAGCCCCTTACCGCCTTTACCGCGTCCAGACATTGCGACTACTTGTGACAAAGCTCCTCGCGAGAGACTGCGCGCTCAGCTTGCAGCAGCAGCCGCCTTTATACCCGAAGCGTGGCGACGTCACCGACCACCCCTGCCCTCCGCGATGGCTCCGCCTTAAACCTTCCACCTTTAACCTCTGCGACGAAGAAAACCCTCCACCGTCGTCAATAACACTTCCTTGACATGTATAATATGCGACGTTTTGGGCAATGACCCTTCTTCGAAGCACTCTGGAATGATATTGGCACACCCGCAGCGAACGCCAGAGGAACGCGATCTGTTGCAAGATTGCACGTGCAGTGAATAATCGGTGTAAGGTCTTGTTTTCAAGTGAACAAGATGAACTAACTTTATAATCGTGTGAAGCTTAACGGCTTCCAACACAATAGTTGAGTGAACGTCACCAACTAGTTGTCCCAAAGTAAGAAAGACATTGCAAACAATGCGATATTTACGTATAGTAATTAATTTTAATAGAGAAGTTTAGAATGGTGCACCGCAATGTTTACAAAACAAAAACAAAGTGAAAAGGCGAGAACGAGCGAATGAAGGCAAATTGAGTAAAGCTGTCTGGAATCAATACATTTTTAGACGAAATTCCATATTGGCACCAGTAACATGATGACGGAATGAAGAGGTGCAACACATAATCAAAATTGGAGGTTCGTCAAGAATGCATCGATTTTGAATCTGGATTTAGATTAGAATCGCCAGCGAGAATGCTGACGTCGCTGAGATTACTCTGCACTCAGTTCGAGTGAGGGAGCTGCCACCCGCCTCGCCTGTGTTTGTGATCCCTGCTTTCGGGCTCGATCACTCCCATCACATCAATGCTTAAAACACATCGAGTGGGTGAAATGTTACACAGTTAATTTGAACTAATTGAAGCGCAGCAGCATCTGGTTCACTTTTTTAACGAAGTGGGTGGCTCTGAAAAGAGCCGTTGAGGTGGAGTGAATCGAGCGTCGGTCGTCCCATCGGATTCACTTCTTTGGCGCAGTCTTCTTGGGCTTGGCCGCGGCCTTCTTGGGCTTGGCCACCTTGGGTTTGGCGGCCTTGGCCTTGACGGTCTTGGGCTTAGCGACCTTGGGCTTCGCAGCCTTGGGCTTGGCTGGGCTCTTCGCCGCCTTCTTGGGCTTAACAGCCGACTTCACCTTTTTGGGGCTCTTGGCCGCCTTGGCAGCCGCGGGCTTCTTTGCTTTCTTGGGAGACTTCTTGGGCGCGGTCTTCTTGGCTGCCGCGGGCTTCTTCACCTTCTTGGCTGCCGCGGGCTTTTTAGCTGCGGGCTTTGCCGTTGACGACTTGGGCTTCGCCTTTGCGGCAGCCTTTTCCTTGTTGAGTTTGAAAGAGCCAGACGCGCCGCTGCCCTTCACTTGCGCCACGGCGTCTTTGGCCACGAGCTTCTTGATGGCCAACTTCACGCGGGCATTGTTCTTCTCCACGTCGTATCCTCCGGCAGCAAGCGACTTTTTGAGCGCAGGAAGAGACACGCCGTTCCTCTCCTTGCTGCTGGCCAGAGCCTTGAGGATGAGCTCGGACACGCTGGGGCCGACCTTCTTGGCCTTTGGAGCGGCGCGCTTCTTCTTGGGGCTTTTAGGCGCTGAAGTAGCCGCAGCTGGTGGTTGAGCAGGAGCAGTTTCCGCCATCTCAAGACGTCGCTTTTATCGCCTCGCCTCTTGGAAACCGAAATCAGCGCTCTCACGAATTCGAACCGAGCGTCCTCCAGGCCCGAGGTTATTATAGAAGCGGCGTACTGAATGCGGACGTCGCTGAGATCATCCAGCACTCAGCTCTAGTGAGGGAGTTGCCTCCATACTCACTGTGTTTATCACGCCTGCCTTTGGGCTCGATTACTCCCGTAACGTTCATACTTACATGCATCTAGTTAATACATCATCACGAAGATCACTTCTTTAATGTACGTTACTTATGCAATATACGACAATGCTCACGATATAAATTATAATTCTAAACAAGTGAACAACCAACATTTGGGAGACATTGTTCGGTCAGGGCAAGATATGATGATTGTCGGTTTTCAAAAGTGTTACTGATGAACACTATTTAAAACGCACTCGAATTTTTTGCAAGACAAGATGCTTCAACATACTACTCATTTAATTCCAACGAAATATTTTCTATTTAAGTTTTGCCTCGCGCGCTCGCGATTCCTCCTCTCGCGCTATGGTGAGGACTGCGCGCCATGTCAATCGTCCCTTGTCACCGAACTTTTAACTGGACGTTTTAATCGAACTTTGAAATGAATAAATTTATGGATTTTCAGATGGACAACAAACTGAAGAAAATTACTCAAAATTAACCGACATTATATGGAAAGTTTAACATTTTACGTGGCAAGAGATGAGTAGCTCACGCACTGCAGAAGGGTCGCGCGCCTTGAAGGCACGGTGCACAATCATCACCACTCAAATTCAACTCAAGTGACTCCGCAGTCGAATGTTTAAAGAAAATATATAATCTTACGTTTAATGCATTGACAGAGTTGATATTCTAGGAGCGCAGGATGGTTCATGCGATGAGTTGTTTTTACTGCAATAAGTAACACGTATTTACTGCACTAAGTAACACGAATGAGTAATCATTGGAAAGATGTTATTAACCATGTAAAAAATATTTAACTACACATATTTGTACCATCTTATTTGACAGGTAATATTATACTTTACCGAGTGTTAACATCCCCAGCGTTTACCAGTACTTTTATGCTTACTATCAGCTAACACCGGCCACAACCCTGAGCTGATGTGCTCATTTGTTCTCTTTTAGCCCCGACACCCCCGCCACTTCCCGGCAACCACATTCAGATAAGCCCCCCTCTTCCCCCCTGATTTGTTATTTTATTATTTATATTGTTTTAGTTATTTATTATTGTTTTACCTACGTGACTTTACCGAAAAAACCTAAGAGTATGAATCATTGCAGTCACGAAAGCTACAAATTTAGAACGAATGCAATAATCATTCATTCCACGCGCATGTGAAGAGGCGTAGTAGATTGGTTTATGCACTTCTGGTAGGAACGAAGTGGACCAGACTCCAATAGATTATATCGTGCGTCCGTTTGTCCGTCCGTCCGTCCGTCCGTGTGTCAACATCGCCCCCTACTGCAAACACTTGGCATGACCCTACAAAAACATTTAGACTCAGTGACGCTATCCTGGCTAACCAAGTGTAGCATTCCCTTATAATTCCCTCAGATAGCTTTTAATTACAATGTTACATTCCCTGATGTTTTTAAATAGCAACATTGACATTTAAAGCTTCAACATAAATAATTAAAACATTTATATTAACAATTAACCCACGGCGGCCTAAGGCCTACAGCTAGGCCTAAAGCCTAGACCTAGGCCTCAAGCTCTCCCTTCGTATAGTTCCCCCGCGTGTGTGAAAGGGAGTAAATGGTTAACAAGGTTACATTCCCTGATGTTTTTTAATAGAAACATTTACATTTAAAGCTTTTACATAAATAATTAAAACATTTATATTAACAATTAACCCACGGCAGGCCTAAGGCCTACAGCTAGGCCTAAAGCCTAGACCTAGGCCTCAAGCTCTCCCTTCGTATAGTTCCCCTGTGTGTGTGAAAGGCAGTAAATATTTAACAATGTTACATTCCCTGATGTTTTTTAATAGAAACATTTACATTTAAAGCTTTTTCATTAAAAACAACTCCCTACCTCCACCCTCTCGTTGGCGGCTCTCCAGCCGAGCCAGGCCTGGGAATCTCTCCCCCGCTCGGGGTGTATTGGGCGGGGCTACAGCGGCAAGGGGCGGGGCTACAGCGGCAGGGGGCGGGGCTACAGCGGCAGGGGGCGGGGCTACGCGGCAGGGGGCCGGGCTACAGCGGCAGGGGGCGGGGCTACAGCGGCAGGGGGCGGGGCTACGCGGCAGCGGGCGGGGCTACAGCGGCAGGGGGCGGGGCTACGCGGGGCTGGGCGGGGACACCGAGATGGGGCGGGGCCACGGGTGGCGGGGCGGGGTTACGCGGGTGGAGGGCGGGGCCACGGGGGCGGAGCGGGGCCACGGGGGAGCGGGGCGGGGTCAAGCGGTGGGAGGCGGAGCTTAGCGCGATGGAGGGAGGGGCCGTTGGCGAAAAGGGGCGGAGTCTACAGTCGAGAATACAGTACCGGGGGCGAGGAGGCGGGGCTAACAGTGATAGGGGCGTGGCCCACGGCGCTGCATCTCGTGCAGATTGTTACTACTCACTGTGTCTGCTCCAAGCTGCACTCACGTAGGTACATACTTGTGCAATACTATTATTTTTTTGCAGAACGGTTACTACTACTTTATTGTTTCTTATGTTCCACTACGTCTACGTTTCCATCCACTCATTGGCGCCCATTTTTTGCCATTTCATTTTATTATAGCCATTCAATTGTTCGGTCCTACCAGCCCACCCCACAGGGACCTGTTTTCACCAACGCACAGCAATATTCGTTCCAAGACCAACCCCGGGCACACGTCCCACAGCCCCTTTTAACTCCTCAATCTCCGCTCCCAATACACATTCGCGTCCAGCACGCCTGGTCCGGGTGACGTCACTGCCCTTTAACCCCTGACCCCCCCGTCCAGCTCTTATTTCCCGCGCGTGTGTGAAAAAAAATTAAGATTGATTGGTGCGTGTTGTCGTGAGAGCGGAGATGTCGTGTTTGCGTGGTGCGTGGTGCGTGAGGGTGGCTCGCAGATCCCTTGAAGTGCTTGAACCATTCTCCGACTCCTCTTCATATGTAATCTGACCGCTCAAAAAGAGCGAGTTTTATTCTTTAAAAAAACACGATACTTTCTTCCAATAGGCACCTCAATTTATTCTAAACCATGTTCCATGATTGATGCAATGTTGGAATGCTGCTCAAATACCGTTCCTAAATTAGACATAAAGGGTATCTGGAATGAGCAGAGAATTCGTTTAATTGCGCGCAATTTGGGACGAGGGCAACTCGACGACGGTGTCCTTATTAATAACAAAACCCCTGTGTACGACTGTACCGAGCTCTTTGCAAGCAAGTGGGTGGCTCTGAAAAGAGCCGTTGTTGTGGTGGTAGAGGCGGCGGCGCGTTCACTTCTTTGCCTGAGAGGTCTTCTTGGGCAGCAGCACGGCCTGGATGTTGGGCAGCACACCGCCCTGGGCGATAGTCACGCCGCCCATGAGCTTGTTGAGCTCCTCGTCGTTTCGCACGGCGAGCTGCAGGTGTCGGGGGATGATCCTCGTCTTCTTGTTGTCGCGGGCGGCATTGCCAGCCAGCTCGAGGATCTCGGCAGAAAGGTACTCGAGCACGGCGGCCAGGTAGACGGGTGCTCCAGCGCCGACCCGCTGGGCGTAATTGCCCTTGCGGAGCAGCCTGTGAACGCGACCCACGGGGAACTGCAGGCCGGCGCGGGAAGAGCGGGACTTTGCCTTGGCGCGAGATTTGCCACCGGTCTTGCCGCGTCCAGACATCGTTAAGGGACCTAGGATGCAAAAAGCACTGGAGACAAAGTACGAACGATTTGTGACGTTACCACGCACCACGGGAGCGGCTTTTATAGCGGAGACGAGGATCGTAGAGCGCGCCGCTGCTGATTGGCTCCTCTCGGTCGAGTCCCGCCCTCTCCTTGAGCCACCAATGACAAGCCGGGACGCGAGGATTCGATGTTGACTTTCATTATTTGTATCCATATATATTTGAATGCGGACACGCATCTTATGAATTAAACAATGCGATACACGTACTTAATAGGTTCAAGTTTTAAGCATAATAGAGTTAATTTATGGGCGCGTGCTGGCAAGTCAAACTTATAAGCGGATTCCGCAAATATCAATGTATTATTGATTATAATCATTTTGAGGGACCGCATTGGTTATAAGAAATCATTGTGATAGCCTTGAGCTCGTGATTGATCGCCCACGTGCCTATACGGTGTATAGATATTTTTTTTTAACCGCCTGTTCGGGCAATGCCTAAAAATATATGTGCGTGAATAATTCAGTCTCAGTTTGCAAAATGTGAACTTCTTATCAGCTCGGGCTTGAAACAGCATAAACCAATATCTTTGGGTTTAATCTATATATATAAAATCGTGAATGTCTGTCTGTCTGTGTGTGGATGTCGGACCATACGCACTTTCATTGGACGCCGGTTGCCCCTGCCAACGCCTAGCGACGACTTCGCCGCTTTCATTGGACGCCGGTTGCCCCTGGCAACGGCTAGCGACGGGCTAGCAGTTGCGGGGTGGACGCCATCTTTAATTCCCGTTAAAAATAGGCGCACGCATTAACACGCGACTCTGAGGTAAATTCATCTAAGTTTCACGTCCTCTTTACTCCCCCCCCCACCACAATGTGTGCTATTACTATTATAGGGTCGGTAGATTATTAAATTATAGCGATTACACAGTATTATTGTAGCGCGGTGGGGGGGGGGGGGAAACGGCACCTGTACCCAGCGTCAGCCGGGTGGCAAAATCAGGCGAGGCGGGAGGCTCTGCATTGTGCTAGGCCTCCACACCCACCACGCGACTCTGAGGTAAAATACATTTCACCAAAATAACTATTTTGTTGTACATTATGTAAACATGGTTTCACAACGCTTATACACAACACCAACGTGTGATGTTGCAGAATGAGCGGCGGGGTATAGAAATGAACTTCATTGTCGCTTACGCCTGACGACTCGTGAGAGCCGTGACCAGCAAACGAAGGTTTCCGGCACCCGAACTTTGAAGGACACACATGGAAGCTTTCTCACGAGTAAGTGGTGGCTCTGAAAAGAGCCTTTGTGTTGTGCTTTGAGGGCCGAGCTGGGCGTTCAAGCGCGCTCGCCACGAATGCGGCGGGCGAGCTGAATGTCCTTGGGCATGATGGTGACGCGCTTGGCGTGGATGGCGCACAGGTTGGTGTCCTCGAAGAGCGCGACAAGGTACGCTTCGCTGGCCTCCTGCAGAGCCATGACAGCGGAGCTCTGGAAGCGCAGGTCGGTCTTGAAGTCCTGCGCGATCTCCCTGACGAGGCGCTGGAAGGGCAGTTTGCGGATGAGCAGCTCGGTGGACTTCTGGTAGCGGCGGATCTCGCGCAGAGCGACGGTGCCGGGCCTGTAGCGGTGAGGCTTCTTGACGCCGCCCGTGGCCGGAGCGCTCTTTCGGGCCGCCTTGGTGGCGAGTTGCTTGCGGGGGGCCTTGCCGCCCGTGGACTTGCGAGCCGTCTGCTTGGTGCGAGCCATGGCTTGGTGAGGGCAAAGATTCTCACAGGCGGGGAGGAGAAGGCGGCTTATGTAGCCCAGAGCGCGCGCTCACTGGTCAGCGGAGTCGTGACGTGCGAAGAAGGGGCGCGTGCTGATTGGTTGGCAGCGTGCAATGATCTCGAGTCGTCAACTCTTCTTCATCAACGAAATGTTCTCACTTTGGATCATTGCAGAATGCCGCATCACGATGCAGTAGTTCCGTTTGAGCGCCGTCCATGTCTTTAACGGATCTTATTTTCTCAAGCAAACACCTTTCCGAAGACAACTTTACAGTGCTCCGCGTGATCTAAATAAAGTGTGAAGAAAATGCACTTCATTGGAAGCAGTAATACGTAAAAAATATTCTTTGGTTCTTTCGGTAAAGTCACGTATAAAGAAAAAATAATAAATTAAATAATAGCATACGACGTTTCGATTGCAACACAAGCAATCATCATCAGGTATAATGAAATAGCGACATAAAATCTAACCAGAAAAAAATTATAGACAGACATATAAGCAGACAGATATCACCAATTTGTTTCTTTATATACGTGACTTTACCGAAAGAACCAAAGAATAATTCCTGCAGTCACGAAAGCTCCAAAGTTAATACGTAAAAATGTCGGAAAGGTGATCACAGGGATAGATATCTATTCTCTTGGCATTGAGATGATGATCATCAATTATACTGCACGAGTCATCCATGCTAGGCGCTTACTTTTACATAGATGCACACGTGCAAAATGTTAGTTCCTGCCCGAAAATACAACCACGAATTAAATATATTGCATTGCAAGGTTTTGGCACCAAATATCCAATGTAATATCTGAATGGGCTGCAGATGAAATCAATGGACAAACAAATCCAAGAAATGCCTGCTGGTGAATATGATGTGCCATGAATATTGTTATCGCTTTTATTCACGTGGAAACAGGTTAAAATGCGTTCCATCTCTCCATTCCACTCAATGAGCGAACAATGTCCCCGCGTGAACCGGGGCTTTGTTGGAAGTTTCGTTTAGTACTCCTGCTAGGACTGGTACAAGCAGGTTCGGAGAGGTGGGTGGCTCTGAAAAGAGCCTTTGTAATTAATGGTGGAGTCGAGGCTTCACTTGGAGCTTGTGTACTTGGTGACGGCCTTGGTGCCCTCCGACACGGCGTGCTTGGCCAGCTCGCCGGGGAGCAGCAGTCGCACTGCGGTCTGGATCTCCCGAGAAGTGATGGTGGAGCGCTTGTTGTAGTGCGCCAGGCGGGACGCCTCGGAAGCGATGCGCTCGAAGATGTCGTTGACGAACGAGTTCATGATGCTCATTGCCTTGGACGAGATGCCGGTATCGGGGTGCACCTGCTTCATCACCTTGTAGATGTAAATGGCGTAGCTCTCCTTCCTGCGGTGGCGTCGCTTCTTGCCATCCTTGCGCGTAGCCTTGGTCACAGCCTTCTTGGAGCCCTTCTTGGGAGCAGGAACCTTGGCCGGCCCAGCGCTCTTTGATGCGGGAGGATCGGGCATGTCGACGCGTCGTAGGCAGCAGCTTCAGGTCAGAACAGACGGGAAGCGAATGTGGATGTCGCTCGCGCGTTGAGCTCCTTTTATAGGAGGCGAGATGCAAATCAGAGGATCGTAGTGCGCGGCGCTGCTGAGTGGCTCTTTTAGTACCGTCCCTCTCCATCAGCCTCCAATGAGAAACGCGGACGCGATGTTCACTTTAATATCGATTTTACTGCTAAAAGGACTGGTGAATATAACACAATGTAATGTCCAAACATGTGTATTAGTGAATTGCAGCCATGGCATTGCCTTTGTTTAAAAAAGGATGACTGGAAAACCCAATACAGTATATTGTGTTTTGAGCGTGGGTTTTTTTGTTTCTTACGAGGGATTGTTTCACCACTCGTCTAATACGGCGCACGGGCGTTTTATGAACGCAATTTGGAAAAATACAAGCGCTCGGTGGAGAAAAATAACTTCGCTGTTGTGCTGTACAGGTGGAGATTAGCATTCCGGCACGCTCCGTCAATTAGGACGAGTGTGCTGTAAGATTGTGGCGCCAAATGCTCTACGTAATATCGGAATCGGCTGCAGCTGGAAATAATTAACGCAAAATACCATAAATAGGTACTGTATTAAGGCGTTCAAGAATAACGCCTTGTTAAATGTGACGTGAATATCATGATTTCTTTCATTCATGTGGAAGCAGATGAAGATTCGCCAACTCAACAAGCGAACGTCCAGCACGCTCACAACAACCCAGGACATGTGCTCCATTCAGAGCGTGTTTGGCAACACTGGCGCAAGCAGTTTCGAAGAGGTGGGTGGCTCTGAAAAGAGCCTTTGGGTTGGCTTAGTGTGCGAGAGATGGGCGCTCAGCCTCCGAAGCCGTAGAGAGTGCGGCCCTGGCGCTTGAGGGCGTAGACCACGTCCATGGCGGTGACGGTCTTGCGCTTGGCGTGCTCCGTGTAGGTGACGGCGTCGCGGATGACGTTCTCAAGGAAGACCTTCAGGACGCCGCGGGTCTCCTCGTAGATGAGGCCCGAGATGCGCTTCACACCGCCGCGGCGAGCGAGGCGGCGGATGGCGGGCTTGGTGATGCCCTGGATGTTGTCGCGCAGCACCTTGCGATGGCGTTTTGCGCCTCCCTTGCCGAGCCCCTTACCGCCTTTACCGCGTCCAGACATTGCGACTACTTGTGACAAAGCTCCTCGCGAGAGACTGCGCGCTCAGCTTGCAGCAGCAGCCGCCTTTATACCCGAAGCGTGGCGACGTCACCGACCACCCCTGCCCTCCGCGATGGCTCCGCCTTAAACCTTCCACCTTTAACCTCTGCGACGAAGAAAACCCTCCACCGTCGTCAATAACACTTCCTTGACATGTATAATATGCGACGTTTTGGGCAATGGCCCTTCTTCGAAGCACTCTGGAATGATATTGGCACACCCGCAGCGAACGCCAGAGGAACACGATCTGTTGCAAGATTGCACGTGGAGTGAATAATCGGTGTAAGGTCTTGTTTTCAAGTGAACAAGATGAACTAACTTTATAATCGTGTGAAGCTTAACGGCTTCCAACACAATAGTTGAGTGAACGTCACCAACTAGTTGTCCCAAAGTAAGAAAGACATTGCAAACAATGCGATATTTACGTATAGAAATTAATTTAAATAGAAAAGTTTAGATGGTGCACCGCAATGTTTACAAAACAAAAACAAATTAAAAAGGTCAGAACGCGCGAATGAAGGCAAATTGAGTAAAGCTGTCTGGAATCAATACATTTTTAGACGAAATTCCATATTTGGCACCAGTAACATGATGACGAAATGAAGAGGTGCAACACATAATCAAAATTGGAGGTTCGTCAAGAATGCATCGATTTTGAATCTGGATTTAGATTAGAATCGCCAGCGAGAATGCTGACGTCGCTGAGATTACTCTGCACTCAGTTCGAGTGAGGGAGCTGCCACCCGCCTCGCCTGTGTTTGTGATCCCTGCTTTCGGGCTCGATCACTCCCATCACATCAATGCTTAAAACACATCGAGTGGGTGAAATGTTACACAGTTAATTTGAACTAATTGAAGCGCAGCAGCATCTGGTTCACTTTTTGAACGAAGTGGGTGGCTCTGAAAAGAGCCGTTGAGGTGGAGTGAATCGAGCGTCGGTCGTCCCATCGGATTCACTTCTTTGGCGCAGTCTTCTTGGGCTTGGCCGCGGCCTTCTTGGGCTTGGCCACCTTGGGTTTGGCGGCCTTGGCCTTGACGGTCTTGGGCTTAGCGACCTTGGGCTTCGCAGCCTTGGGCTTGGCTGGGCTCTTCGCCGCCTTCTTGGGCTTAACAGCCGACTTCACCTTTTTGGGGCTCTTGGCCGCCTTGGCAGCCGCGGGCTTCTTTGCTTTCTTGGGAGACTTCTTGGGCGCGGTCTTCTTGGCTGCCGCGGGCTTCTTCACCTTCTTGGCTGCCGCGGGCTTTTTAGCTGCGGGCTTTGCCGTTGACGACTTGGGCTTCGCCTTTGCGGCAGCCTTTTCCTTGTTGAGTTTGAAAGAGCCAGACGCGCCGCTGCCCTTCACTTGCGCCACGGCGTCTTTGGCCACGAGCTTCTTGATGGCCAACTTCACGCGGGCATTGTTCTTCTCCACGTCGTATCCTCCGGCAGCAAGCGACTTTTTGAGCGCAGGAAGAGACACGCCGTTCCTCTCCTTGCTGCTGGCCAGAGCCTTGAGGATGAGCTCGGACACGCTGGGGCCGACCTTCTTGGCCTTTGGAGCGGCGCGCTTCTTCTTGGGGCTTTTAGGCGCTGAAGTAGCCGCAGCTGGTGGTTGAGCAGGAGCAGTTTCCGCCATCTCAAGACGTCACTTTTATCGCCTCGCCTCTTTGAAACCGAAATCAGCGCTCTCACGAATTCGAACCGAGCGTCCTCCAGGCCCGAGGTTATTATAGAAGCGGCGTACTGAAAGCGGACGTCGCTGAGATCATCCAGCACTCAGCTCTAGTGAGGGAGTTCCCACCATACTCACTGTGTTTATCACGCCTGCCTTTGGGCTCGATTACTCCCGTAACGTTCATACTTACATGCATCTAGTTAATACATCATCACGAAGATCACTTCTTTAATGTACGTTACTTATGCAATATACGACAATGCTCACGATATAAATTATAATTCTAAACAAGTGAACAACCAACATTTGGGAGACATTGTTCGGTCAGGGCAAGATATGATGATTGTCGGTTTTCAAAAGTGTTACTGATGAACACTATTTAAAACGCACTCGAATTTTTTGCAAGACAAGATGCTTCAACAGACTACTCATATTTAATTCCAACAAAATATTTTCTATTTAAGTTTTGCCTCGCGCGCTCGCGATTCCTCCTCTCGCGCTATGGTGAGGACTGCGCGCCATGTCTGGTGAGAATAGAGGGGAGTGTGGAGATCTGGTGAGAATAGAGGGGAGTGTGGAGTTCCGGTGAGAATAGAGGGGAGCGTGGAGTTCTGGTGAGAATAGAGGGGAGTGTGGAGTTCCGGTGGGAATAGAGGGGAGTGTGGAGTTCTGGTGGGAATAGAGGGGAGTGTGGAGTTTCGGTGAGAATAGAGGGGAGTGTGGAGTTCCGGTTGGAATAGAGGGGAGTGTGGAGTTCTGGTGAGAATAGAGGGGAGTGTGGAGTTCCGATGAGAATAGAGGGGAGTGTGGAGTTCCGGTGAGAATAGAGGGGAGTGTGGAGTTCTGGTGAGAATAGAGGGGAGTGTGGAGTTCCGGTGGGAATAGAGGGGAGTGTGGAGTTCCGGTGGGAATAGAGGGGAGTGTGGAGTTCCGGTGAGAATAGAGGGGAGTGTGGAGTTCCGGTGGGAATAGAGGGGAGTGTGGAGTTCTGGTGAGAATAGAGGGGAGTGTGGAGTTCTGGTGAGAATAGAGGGGAGTGTGGAGTTCCGGTGAGAATAGAGGGGAGTGTGGAGTTCTGGTGAGAATAGAGGGGAGTGTGGAGTTCTGGTGGGAATAGAGGGGAGTGTAGAATTCCGGTGAGAATAGAGGGGAGCGTGGAGTTCTGGTGAGAATAGAGGGGAGTGTGGAGTTCTGGTGAGAATAGAGGGGAGTGTGGAGTTCCGGTGAGAATAGAGGGGAGCGTGGAGTTCTGGTGAGAATAGAGGGGAGTGTGGAGTTCTGGTGAGAATAGAGGGGAGTGTGGAATTCCGGTGAGAATAGAGGGGAGTGTGGAGTTCCGGTGAGAATAGAGGGGAGTGTGGAGTTCCGGTGAGTATAGAGGGGAGTGTGGAGTTCCGGTGGGATTAGAGGGAAGTGTGGAGTTCTGGTGGAAATAGAGGGGAGTGTGGAGTTCTGGTGGAAATAGAGGGGAGTGTGGAGTTCCGGTGGGAATAGAGGGGAGTGTGGAGTTCTGGTGGGAATAGAGGGGAGTGTGGAGTTTCGGTGAGAATAGAAGGGAGTGTGGAGTTCCGGTTGGAATAGAGGGGAGTTAGTGGATGGAGGTTCTAGTGAGAATAGAGGGGAGTGTGGAGTTCCGGTGAGAATAGAGGGGAGTGTGGAGTTCCGGTGAGAATAGAGGGGAGTGTGGAGTTCTGGTGAGAATAGAGGGGAGTGTGGAGTTCCGATGAGAATAGAGGGGAGTGCGGAGTTCCGGTGGGAATAGAGGGGAGCGTGGAGTTCCGGTGGGAATAGAGGGGAGTTTGGAGTTCCGGTGAAAATAGAGGGGAGTGTGGAGTTCCGGTGGGAATAGAGGGGAGTGTGGAGTTCCGGTGAGAATAGAGGGGAGTGTGGAGTTCTGGTGAGAATAGAGGGGAGTGTGGAGTTCTGGTGAGAATAGAGGGGAGTGTGGAGTTCCAGTGGGAATAGAGAGGAGTGTGGAGTTCCGGTGGGAATAGAGGGGAGTGTGGAGTTCAGGTGAGAATAGAGGGGAGTGTGGAGTTTCTGGTGAGAATAGAGGGGAGTGTAGAATTCCGGTGAGAATAGAGGGGAGCGTGGAGTTCTGGTGAGAATAGAGGGGAGTGTGGAGTTCTGGTGAGAATAGAGGGGAGTGTGGAGTTCCGGTGAGAATAGAGGGGAGTGTGGAGTTCTGGTGAGAATAGAGGGGAGTGTGGAGTTCTGGTGGGAATAGAGGGGAGTGTAGAATTCCGGTGAGAATAGAAGGGAGCGTGGAGTTCTGGTGAGAATAGAGGGGAGTGTGGAGTTCTGGTGAGAATAGAGGGGAGTGTGGAGTTCCGGTGAGAATAGAGGGGAGCGTGGAGTTCTGGTGAGAATAGAGGGGAGTGTGGAGTTCTGGTGAGAATAGAGGGGAGTGTGGAATTCCGGTGAGAATAGAGGGGAATGTGGAGTTCCGGTGAGAATAGAGGGGAGTGTGGAGTTCCGGTGAGTATAGAGGGGAGTGTGGAGTTCCGGTGGGAATAGAGGGAAGTGTGGAGTTCCGGTGGGAATAGAGGGGAGTGTGGAGTTCTGGTGGAAATAGAGGGGAGTGTGGAGTTCCGGTGGGAATAGAGGGGAGTGTGGAGTTTCGGTGAGAATAGAGGGAAGTGTGGAGTTCCGGTTGGAATAGAGGGGAGTGTGGAGTTCTGGTGAGAATAGAGGGGAGTGTGGAGTTCCAATGAGAATAGAGGGGAGTGTGGAGTTCCGGTGAGAATAGAGGGGAGTGTGGAGTTCTGGTGAGAATAGAGGGGAGTGTGGAGTTCCGATGAGAATAGAGGGGAGTGCGGAGTTCCGGTGGGAATAGAGGGGAGCGTGGAGTTCTGGTGAGAATAGAGGGGAGTGTGGAGTTCCGGTGGGAATAGAGGGGAGTGTGGAGTTCCGGTGGGAATAGAGGGGAGTGTGGAGTTCCGGTGAGAATAGAGGGGGAGTGTGGAGTTCCGGTGGGAATAGAGGGGAGTGTGGAGTTCCGGTGAGAATAGAGGGGAGTGTGGAGTTCCGGTGGGAATAGAGGGGAGTGTGGAGTTCCGGTGAGAATAGAGGGGAGTGTGGAGTTCTGGTGGGAATAGAGGGGAGTGTGGAGTTCCGGTGGGAATAGAGGGGAGTGTGGAGTTCCGGTGAGAATAGAGGGGAGTGTGGAGTTCCGGTGGGAATAGAGGGGAGTGTGGAGTTCCGGTGAGAATAGAGGGGAGTGTGGAGTTCTGGTGGGAATAGAGGGGAGTGTGGAGTTCCGGTGGGAATAAAGGGGATTGTGGAGTTCCGATGGGAATAGAGGGGAGTGTGGAGTTCCGGTGGGAATAGAGGGGAGTGTGGAGTTCCGGTGGGAATAGAGGGGAGTGTGGAGTTCTGGTGAGAATAGAGGGGAGTGTGGAGTTCTGGTGGGAATAGAGGGGAGTGTGGAGTTCCGGTGAGAATAGAGGGGAGCGTGGAGTTCCAGTGGGAATAGAGGGGAGTGTGGAGTTCCGGTGAGAATAGAGGGGAGCGTGGAGTTCTGGTGGGAATAGAGGAGAGTGTGGAGTTCCGGTGAGAATAGAGGGGAGGGTGGAGTTCTGGTGGGAATAGAGGGGAGTGTGGAGTTCTGGTGAGAATAGAGGGGAGTGTGGAGTTCTGGTGGGAATAGAGGGGAGTGTGGAGTTCTGGTGAGAATAGAGAGGAGTGTGGAGTTCCGGTGAGAATAGAGGGGAGCGTGGAGTTCCAGTGAGAATAGAGGGGAGCGTGGAGTTGCGATGTGAATATAAATCACCGCTGCAGGCTACGCACCTCCATGTATCCTCTGGAGCGCCACCCTCAGGGCCTCCTTGCAGGCGGTAGCTCTGCGCTCCAGCCTGAACATCGCCATCCTGGCCTTGTGCACCTCCCTCAGCTCAAATCCCCTGGACTCCTCCTCCTGCTGCTGCTGCTCCTCCTCCACGCCCTGCAAGATGCTCCACACGTACTCCAGGGCTTCGGCTTTAGTCTGAGCGGAGGGGGTGGTGGGGTGAGGGGGGCAAAGTTTGTGCGGTGACCAGCGGTGGCTAGGAGATGTTAACTCCCTCGCCTGGTACGTAGGAAGTCGCGGGTTCGATCTCGACCCTGACACCTCATCGGATTCCTCTAGTACAGTATACAGTAAGGGAAAAAAGTATTTGATCCCCTGCTGATTTTGTACGTTTGCCCACTGACAAAGAAGTGATCAGTCTATAATTTGAACGGTAGGTTTATTTGAACAGTGAGAGACAGAATAACAACAACAAAATCCAAAAAAACGCATGTCAAAAATGTTATCAAGTGAATTGCATTTTAATGAGGGAAATACGTATTTGACCCCCTCTCAATCATAAAGATTTCTGGCTCCCAGGTGTCTTTTATACAGGTAACGAGCTGAGATTAGGAGCACACTCTTAAAGGGAGTGCTCCTAATCTCAGCTTGTTACCTGTATAAAAGACACCTGTTCACAGAAACAATCAATTAGATTCCAAACTCTCCACCATGGCCAAGACCAAAGAGCTCTCCAAGGATGTCAGGGACAAGATTGTAGACCTACACAAGACTGGAATGGGCTACAAGGCCATTGCCAAGCAGCTTGGTGAGAACGTGACAACAATTGGTGTGATTATTCGCAAATGGAAGAAACACAAAAGAACTGTCATACTCCCTCGGCCTGGGGCTCCATGCAAGATGTCACCTCGTGGAGTTGCAATGATCATGAGAACGGTGAGGAATCAGCCCAGAACTACACGGGAGGATCTTGTCAATGATCTCAAGGCAGCTGGGACCATAGTCACCAAGAAAACAGTTGGTAACACACTACGCTGTGAAGGACTGAAATCCTGTAGCGCCCGCAAGGTCCCCCTGCTCAAGAAAGCACATATACATGCCCGTCTGAAGTTTGCCAATGAACATCTGAATGATTCAGAGGACAACTGGGTGAAAGTGTTGTGGTCAGATGAGACCAAAATGGAGCTCTTTGGCATCAACTCAACTCGCCCTGTTTGGAGGAGGAGGAATGCTGCCTATGACCCCAAGAACACCATCCCCACCGTCAAACATGGAGGTGGAAACATTATGCTTTGGGGGTGTTTTTCTGATAAGGGGACAGGACAACTTCACCGCATCAAAGGGACGATGGACGGGGCCATGTACCGTCAAATCTTGGGTGAGAACCTCCTTCCCTCAGCCAGCGCATTGAAAATGGGTCGTGGATGGGTATTCTAGCATGACAATGACCCAAAACACACAGCCAAGGCAACAAAGGAGTGGCTCAAGAAGAAGCACATTAAGGTCCTGGAGTGGCCTAGCCAGTCTCCAGACCTTAATCCCATAGAAAATCTATGGAGGGAGCTGAAGGTTCGAGTTGCCAAACGTCAGCCTCGA